AAAAGGGGGGGGGGGAAAAAAAACCCCCCTTTTCAAAGGGGGGGGGCGATTTCCCCCCCCCCCCCCCGGTCCTGCCAATGGTAAGTTACATTTGTCAGCGACAACATCTTTTTCCAAAAAAAGGTGTCCTAGGTGACTGAGGTAAGAGATAAGATCAAACATACTCGTTCGGTGGCTGTGGGAACAACACCAGTAATGTTATGAGTTATTGAAAGGGAGCGAAAGCATTGCAGGAGTACGTAGAGGTCTGCTCAAGGAAGTCCAAATTTTCTTGCAAAAGTCTTCCCCACAGTTGGCTCCACAAGTGTGGATCCACAAACATGAATACGCAGTTGAGACAGAGGGATATTTCATACTCACTTGATGTTTATCAAACCTCAGGAATCTACCCCGTGCCATCTACATCACCATGTCCATTGTGACAGTCTTCTATGTATTTGCCAATGTTGCGTACTTCACTGCCATGTCACCCCAGGAACTGCTGGCCTCTGAGGCCGTTGCCGTGGTGAGGCACTTAATCAGTTAAACTGAAAACTGCGTCAGAATTGCATTCACGTTGAAAAAAAGTATTAATCACTGGAACCATACAAATTTGAAATCAGTTCCTGACAAATTATTCAGACAAGATCCCTCCATTGGAATCCCAGAGCAAATGCCAATAGACCTGAAATTCACGAGGAGGTCACTTTGATCTTGTTTTCTGAATCTTTTTCATGAATTTTATTTGTTGAATGAGATGGTACCAGACTATTTGATTAGCATGTGTTCCAAGCCTCCCTTTCAGCTTTTTTTCCAAATGTGGTTTAATTATTATATGTCAAATCACAAGTTTGAAATTGCATTTAGGTACTTGTTTGGCTTGAAATTTTATTTGATTTGATTGCTTCCATATCTACTTTTAACTGCCCAGAATATAAAGTTGACCATGCTTTTAAATTAACATGGCTGACTCGTGAATGAAATCGATTTCCTTGGTTCAACCCAGGGAGTTACTGCACCATGGCAAGGTTCACTCACTATGTGTCTTCACCCTCTTCCCTCCCCATTCCCCTCCCCAGCCATCACCATTTTTGTTATTTTTTTTGATTCAGACATTTGGTCTCAAGTTGCTTGGGGTCGTTGCATGGTGTATGCCGATTTTCGTCGCCATGTCCACATTTGGTTCAAACAATGGCAGTGTACTTGCCATATCGAGGTAACTATCGATGGAAAATTTCATAATTGCATATTTTTGTAGATTCTCCATTTCTTCTATTAATTGATTTTATATGAATTCATTTTGCATATACTGTGAGTACTTCTACAATCTTAACGACTCTCATGCGTAGTTTTGTCACCTGTTGTTCTTTCATTTGAAGGAGCATATTTAGTATTGCACTTGATGCCTTACTAAGCTTGATATGTTTAAGAAAATGGACACTAAACGCAAACCCCTTTAATATAAATATTTTGACATTTCTGATCAGTCTGAATCGTGCAGTTGGTTTTCCAAAGACAGCCCAGATTGTACAGGTAGCTCGGTTGACCTCAGACTCACATGAGTGCTTTTAATATTTACATGTCAACCGATGCACATTTACACGGACCATAAGATTTGCATGTATATATAAAAAATGGCATCTCGACTTTCTTTTCTGTGTCCTTGAACCAGCTGAAACCTACTAGATTTAACATATTCTGTCAGATCTGATTGATTAGAGCAAGTGGAAAAAGGTTCCAGTTGGTTGATTGTGATGGATTTAAGGTTGCTGTAAACCTTCATGATGTATTGGTGTATTATTTCATGGAGTGTGCTAATTTTATCCCAGAACGTTCTTTGTCGGAGCTAGAGACAGACAACTACCAACTTTCCTTGCAATGATTGACATTAAGAGGAAGACGCCAATGCCAGCTCTACTTCTTGTGGTATGTGACCTGCAGGATTTATAACATTGGTATTTGTAGTTGAAGATTACTTAAGATCCATCTTACATGTCTGCATGTCAGTGTTAAATATCTTACTGTTTTGTAAAACAGTGTTGATGTTTTTTAAAAGATGAATGGTACATTTAAACAGGAATATCCAGACATATTAGCAGGGAACAACCTGTAGTATCATACACTTCTTTTCTTAAAATCAGCATTTGTGTATTTGTTATAAACAGCCTGTGTGAAAAATGTAGTGGTTCACTTAATGCATGCCCATGTGTAGACAAACCTCCAGGTTTGCATTTTGAGTTTCATCCATGATATGCTTAAACTGTTGCATTTCCAGGAGCCAGGTCATTCAACAAGAATAAAACAAGCTGTGAATACAAAATGAAACCGATGTACCTATTGGCACCATCAGTCGGATACGCATTGTTGTGTTCACTATTCCTGTTCTCTTTTTTAACGGTTGCCCCCCCTCCTCGTATTCCCTTTTAGACTTTCCTGGCGTGTGTATACGTGTTTGTGAAGGACATCTACACCTTGATTAACTATTTCAACTTTGCGCTGTGGACGTCAAGTGGTGCCCTCTCAGCCGGGCTGGTCTATCTCCGTTGGAAGTACCCACAAAGAAAAAGACCTTACAGGGTAATTGTTTTACCAAATGTGTTGGAAACATTTCTCTGAGGAAGATGTCTCTTCAAGAAAAGAGAATGATCATGTTAACCACTTCCTGCCGGGGCACCCAGTTTCAGACGAAAGAGCTGGTCTGTGTAACAAAAGACTGTACTCGGAGCAAAGGACCTGCTGCTGGGAATTGCCATCATTTTTTCACTTCCATTTTTCGAAGGTAATCCGGCGCTGTTTTGAAACAGTATACCACTGTTGGGGGCATAGCGCGCCCGCGGACGAGCACCGCGGACAAAAGTGCTCCAGGGCCCCATTGATGAGCGACACAACGCTGCTGCTCACTAATCCAGCCGCGTATAAAAAAGACTCTACTGGCATTCACCGGAACAAAGGAAATTATGCAACACCACACAATTCTGGGCTCTCTTTTACAGGGCTGCAGGCCTGGGCTGAATACTCAGGCGTCATTGAGTGTCATTCGTGTGGGTGTAAACATGCATTAAATGAACACATGAATTTTTAAAGAATTTTGAAAACGGAAAATCTTGAAAAGGTCCTGTCACCTCATCCCGCTCAAGAAAAATCCACCCGGCAGGTAGTGGTTAACCAACTTTATTTAATCTAATAGTAAATTTTTGCTTAAATGAACGCATTCTTTCTGAGGTCTTGGTTTTTGAATTTAGAACGTTTTGTTATGTTAAAATCACCATCTGAAATGGAGCCGGCCACCTGCAAAACATTCAGTGGTGTTCAAAACTCGTTTAGCAGAGTGTTTGAGAAACAAAATTGAGGACAGGTCCGTGCGTACCAATGGCGGTTTTGCTAGGTTCTTTTACACTCTAAATATTTATAGAAAGTAAACTCATTCTTTGAGTCTTTGCCGTCAGGGTTGAAATTTTGGAGGTCTTCGATAAAAAAAAAAAAAAAGGAAAAAAAAAGAAAATCATCAAACCGTGCTTTCTGACCCAGGTCTGTTGTCTATGTGAATGAATTAATCTATTTTTTTTTTTTTTTTCAAATTTTTTTTTTCTTAATAACAGGTGAATATTTGCCTTGCCATCTTCTTCACCTTTGCCTCCATCGCTCTGGTGGTCCTGGGCACCATCTCGGCCCCCATGGACACTCTGATTGGTGTGGCTATCACACTCACCGGCATACCGTTCTACTTCATCTTGGTCCGACCGGCCAAGATACCGACTCTCCTCCACAAACTAGACGGTAGGTGGATGGACTGAACACACCAGTGGCGTTCCCAGAGTTGGGGAGGGGCAAAATTCCCCCCCCCCCCAAACATGTTGCAATATTTTTACCCCATGAAGTGAAAAGGCCACCACTTTGAGGAGGCAATGAGGTTATATGTATGGAACAAAAACCAATCTCATGTTGGCTTCCCTCCGACCTAAACCCTGGATATGGCATAGACTATTTAGATCTCATTCACTCAGATACAGAGACTGAGAGTTGCCAACATTTTGACTTGTCTTTGTAAGGGCTAGTTGGTTTGAAATGTACACCCTCGCATGTTGCACCAAGTTTTTGCATGTATGTAAACGTGAAGTTGGGCTGTTATGTTATGCCACATGTAGCAACCAATTTCCGATGCATTGAGGCTGTTAAACTGGCATACAGTTGGGTTGCCTCTCTAGTAGGCGGAGTTGAGCAGTGTCACAGAAAGCGAAGTCCAAGGTGGAAGTCTGTCAGTATTGGGGGAGGGAGAATATTCAACTTCATCTCTGACGGTCACCGGCCTCATATCTGAATTTTAACCATGGGACTTTGAAATTGTCATCTTAATAACTATGATGCAACCGGAAATCCTTGATATCAATGCACATATCCTAGGATGTCTGTTTAATTTAAGCAGTGTAGGTCTATAATCAGCAGTTGATTTCATGGATGAAGCCTAAGATGTAGACAGAGTGGACTGTTGAAAACCACCTAGTTCCACTACCCAGTTTGTATTAGCCCAGCAAAGCCATGATATGTGCCCCTTCTTTTATTTAGTGCTACTCGGAGATTTTTAAGAGAGGTTGCGCATGGCAGCATTTTTTCTGGTGAGAGCTTTTCTTCCTGTGGGATACATCTGAGTAGACCTTTTGTACTATCCCTCCATAACAAAAGCAGTTCCGGACAGATGGCTGCCATGCACAACACCTGTTGAAAAATAAAATGGAAAACTAAGCTTGTTCCGATTTAGAACAATTCACTTTGTACTCCAGTGCTTTCATTGTTCTTCGGTTTTTTTTCTGTAGTTGTTGTTACACACTGGTGCCAGAAATTGTTCTTGGTCACCAATGAAGAGAAGACTGGAACGACCAATGGAGACACCTGAAAGATGGCCAAAGAGGAAAAGGAGATGTGATTGGATGGGACTAAAGTGCAATTTATCAGTCAAGAACTCAGTTAACCTTGAGGAATACCGGATCAACCAATCCACAAAACCATGTTAGGTTGAATCGTGTGTCATTATAACTGTCAGCATTTAGCCTTGGAACTTTATGGAGCAGTTTAACTGTCTTTCTACTAATATCACACAAGCGCACGTGGAACACAGAATAATGCAGCGTGTCTGTGTCCCATACACCACAAGGCCAAAGGCTTGACGCACAATAAAGAAGTTATAAGGTTCTATGTACCCAAAGTGCCACCTTTGAATTTACAGTAAATTTTGCAGTTGTGCATTTGCTTTTAGCATAAAAATAGCACATTGCGTGGAGTTAGAACAGTGCATTATGCAATTATGGTTATGTATCACACTGTTTGTTGCCATGGATTGACCGATCAGAATCGAGAATTCAAGTTTGCCAGAAGATAAATGAACATGCTGGTGGGAACAGTGTAACGTTTGCTTTCATTTTCAGATGAAAACTTTGAGAGTTATGTTTCTGGTTTTACCTAACCATATAGTTGAACAGGTGAAAAATAGCAGCCTAGCACCATGCATGTGACTTATTTTACCAGCTTGTATTACCAGAGCACCTGTCTGTCAAATCTGCCTAGAGCATTTTAAATTCTGATTAGCACAGAATTTGCAGGCTCCTATCAACACTCTGAAGATCTTCAGTGGTTAATCCTGTGGTGTAAATCATCACAAGTTGGGCTTGACAGTTTTACTATCTTTTGGACTTTCTTGCCTACTTATGTTTTTTTTCTGTTGTTTATAACATTTGTGAAAATAATTTGTATTATTTGATAGCTGCATAAATCTCTGTCATCTGATTGGTGGATCATAGATCACATGTCATTAAATTTTTTGTTCTATTCAGTAATACCTGTAGAGTGATGTTCTTTATTTTACTTGACTGGTTCCAACCCAATAGGGCTGTGCCGAATATCCAAACAACCGAATATTCGATCGATTGTGGAATATTCGAATATTATTTTTTGAATTTGAATATTTGAATGCAAAATTCATGAAAAGGAAGGAAATTTTCTTTTGTTTTAAATGGGAAATATAGTACTATGGAGGCTTGTTTCAAGCAGATTCAAATAAAAAGCGTCAGAAATATTACGATTTAAAAAGTAAAGTAAATTATTCATTAAACAATTTAAAACGAGTAGAAATTTTCTACAGGGCAAGAAGTCTTGCTCATCTCTTAAACCTTGCTAAGTCGTGGCTGGAGATACTCCTAGATATGAGAAGCTATTATATTGATCATAATGTACAATTGTGTGCGTTATTGCAACTGATTTTGTGTATGGTTTGTTCATCAACAATCTGCCTGTCGGTGTGACCGAATATTCGGACATTCGATCAAAGTGAGGGTCAAATATTCAAATAGTGAATTATTCAAATTGACTCAGCCCAGCAACCCATTTTCCTATATCGCATTCCCAGTAAGAAAGAGGAAAATAATGTTGGGAAGGAAACCAGTCTAACATTGCACAGTATAGTACCATGTTGTGGGTAGCGTTTCAGACACAAATCTGGCAAAATGCCAGATGTTAACAAGCAAGCGGAACCTATTTGTTCTGAAAGAAGAGGATTTATGCACGTATTGTATAAAACAAGTAATGAATATTTTACATTCTTGCAGTGGTAAGGATAATTTCATGAGGTGACAGCTGAAATGTTCCATACCACTCGGCTTCACCTTGTGGAATCAAACATTTCATCTGTCACCTCATGAAATAATTCTTACCATTGCACCCATAACCATTCCTTATTTGTACACAATTTCATTTTCGGCCGAGTAACATTCCTTGTTTCATTAATAAACAGTCTGTCATAGATTTACAAAGTTTCTGTTGCCCTTTCACTTGGTTTTGCTCAGTGACAATCAGCAGGGACCGTCTCCCTAAAGGAATATCACAGCTGTGTACGAACGCGCCATCTCTTTTAGTCCACCCATGGAAGCCATAAACAGGTGTCATTTACTCGATTGTTTCTTTGCTGGAGGAATTCTTATGGCGTACAAGCATAAAATGAAGAACTTCTTTTTACCTCAAGCCAGAATGAGTGCAAAGTTTCAACACTATAACCCAAGTCCAAACCATTGGTTCTCCAGTCATTACCTGACTTAATCCCAACTCCTATATATTAATCAGTGGCCTGCAGGAAGAAAAAAAAAACCACCCAATGCGAGGTGTCAGTGGAAAGCTGTTGTTGTTGTTTGAAGCCACCCCAAGCAGTGACGAATCCAGAAAGAAGCGAGGTGCCCTTCTATGAAGGGGGGGTTCGTAATTCAGAGGGAGGTGAGCCTGAATAAAAGGCTGTGTTTGCGCACTTTACTCCTGTTAACACGAGTAGTATGCGTCCGCATTATACTTCGATACAGGAGTATACTGCCCCTCTAGTGAGAGTGTACTCACAGCCATTAGCACATGCATGCAATGAAAGGGTGCTACAGGAGGGGAAAGATTTTCTGCTATGGTCAGCACAATTTACCCGCAAACTTTTCAGCGACTCTGAAATTGGATGCAACAGGAAAACCTCAGATGCAAGTCAGTTTTTACTTGTGGCACTTTACAGGTGAAAAGTGCAAATCCACAAATAGATCAATGCTAGTTTTACAAAAATTAGTGAAATGAATTCACCTGAGTGGGTGTAGGAGTGTTAGCAATTTCAATTATATTTGTGACCCGCTCCGACCCTGCTCTTGAAAATGAGTTGCCTGAATCACTATTTGAGTTTTCATTTGTATCAGAAAGAGCAAATTGAGCTTTTTGTTTTGATGTATCACTCAGTTTGGCATCCTGATGAAAGTGGATACTCCATGGTGACAAATGCTGTGGGTTCCTATTGATTTATATTGTGCAAAATTGTTCTAAAGAACTTCTTACTCCAAAGTGGCTCTGGTGACTTGTAACTCATTTTCACAGAGTGGGTCACATAACTTATAGGAGGTCCCCCTTTGTGTACAAAAGAGTGTGTTTTGTGCCTAACATGTCTAATTTCAAATTTCTCATTGGGGGAAAAATGATGTATTTTGCATGTAAATTGTCATATGTATGTAACCACTTTCAAGTCGTGAGAGTGCCCAGATCCGTGTTTAGTGGTTCCGGAATACGGCAATCAAAAAGTGAAAGACCATCTGAAGATGGCAATCTTCCAAAATCTGGCTTAAACCCCAGGCCCCAGTTGCTGTAGCACTGAACCCTCTGCCTTGTCTCAGAGGAACTGAAAAGTAGCTGCACATGAAAATGGAGTGGAGGAAGTAAAAGTCTGCTGGTATAATTTACCAATTTCATTAATCGACCATTTCCATTTGGCCCTTTTCTTCCAATTTCCAGAGGCCAATTTTTGAGAATTTCTGGAATCTTGCAAAAATTCACACAAGCTTGAAACCTCTCTAGCTGCTGATGACGCTACACTTTACTTAGATGTTGGCTTTCACACTCCGTGGGCCCCCACTGACTGCAAAGAAAACTGTGTAAACAAAGCACCATGTCACAGTACAGAGCCCCATTTCCTCATTTGCTAAAACCATTTAGGCATATTTAGCCTCTTCCAAACACTATCCTTTTTAGTGGAACATTTTACTAAGGCTGCGATTGGACATAAAATGCCATGATCAGATATAACTGTCAAAACGATGGAAGAGTCATTGGATCTCATTACAGTACCTAGAACGGAGGTTAAAAAGAGACTGACCAATTAAAATCTGCAATCCCATTGTGTCATGCTTTTAATAATACAACAGAGGGGAAAAAGTTGATACTCTCAGAAAAACAAAGGAATGTTTTTAGAGCATTAAAAGGAAAACTTTAGAGAACACAAAATAATATACTTCAATTGTTACAACCTTAAACAAAACAAAGCCTCCATTATGTGAAATTAAGACATCTGCTATCATGTTACCCAAGCAATTTGTATACAATATATTTTAAGAAGCACAGGTTAATTAAATTAAAAAGTCTCAGTTTCAAAACCTGGAATTATTTACATGCATATTGTATTACAGCATTGTGCATTAAGGCAATGAAATAATAATGTGGGCCGGGTATAACCAATTTAATACAGCAAATATATTACTTCTCATTTTTTTGAATAAACGAATCATCTAAATACATTCTGTAACTCAGAATAAAATTTACTACAGCTCATAATTTCAGTATCCTCATTTTGAACGACCCTTTGTTTTCATATAATCAACTGCATTAATAAAGTAACTCTGTTCTCTGTGAGCCCTTTCAAACTTTCTTGAAATGAGCTCGAAATCAAAGAGACGCCACTACTGTGATGGCGCTATATACATGTACATGCACACATGGATTTTGACAAGTCGAAATATTCCCCATGAGGTTGGTGCTACTGCAATAATGGCTTTTAAGGAAAAATTATTTGTTTTGTGATTGAAGTTCCAATGACTGTCACTATTAACCTGTAATTCAAAATGAGTTTATTTCCAAAATGTGATGAGAACCATTTTGGTATCTTCAGAATCCTACCCTCTCTCAGTTATATGTAGTCAGTTTCTACAGCCTTAAGACAGCTAAACATCAATTTAACAAGTCAAAATAGCGAAAAAGGAGTTTAGGGACACATGGTACACTGCTAAAGCTCTTCAATTTTTCAGATTTGTGGACAAATTGCATATTTTTCAAATTTATATATCTTATTTTTGAAAAAAAAATTCAAACAGTTTCTTCATCCCAAGTGAATTTCAGCCAAGTTTCTGGATAATGGGTCACACTCATACGAAGTGCTCCTTAATAAATGACAAACACATTATAGGTATCGTGTCCCTGGCAAAGGAAGACAATGCAGCAACTGTTAAAAAGCACAGAATGCAAAGTTGGCTAAAACCAGCAACACAAACTTGCATCAACTTCTTTTTCAAGATTAACTAATAGTCATGACTGACAGAGGTAAAACAAAAGGGATAAGAAATTATTAATTACGAACAAAACCTTTTTTTACAAGTTCCAATAACAGGCACAAAACTAACATAATGAACAAGATATTTGTGTGAAGGCAAAATATTACCTAAACATTCGGTACTCTTAACAATAATACATGAAAGGAAAAAATAAACCTAGACATGTGGTCTAAGATAAAATCTTCAAATATCAACTACTTACATGACGTTATTGTAATGGCCATAAAAACAAACATTCTGGAATTATACATTTCAAATTCACAAGCCTACGTATCGTACAAATTACACATATTGCTAAATTCTTGATAAAAGTTATCTTTTAAATCCCATAAAATCCAGGTTTGGATGGTTTCTGCGTTAAGCAGAGCTGTCCCTTTTTGACACACACATAATCTTTCTTGTAATATATTAAATTTAATCTCTTTATAGACATTATGCACACATGACAATATGAAAGTTTGAGCCTCAACTGTGTATAATAAATCAAGGGCTAATCTCTTCCTACAAATTCGCACAAGCAATACAGTGCGACTTAACCAACACTAGTTGAGCCCGAAATCTGGAAGCCTTTGCCACTAATGTTTTTCATTGGCTGCATGCATTGCTGGCAGCATTCCCACTTGACTGCATCCCACATGCTCAGTTTCATGTCAAACATTCCCTCTGTGTTTTATGACATAAATACCCAATGAAAATCAACAATGCAACTGCATGACTTATACAAAGTCACTGAGGCCCCATAGCAGTTCCAAAGAGTTGGCTGGACTGGAGATGTCCAACCATCATGTATTGAGGTGATCCCAAGTCGAATCCTGGTTAACCACCATTGCTCGAACTTGCTCAGACTTTTAAAAAAACAAACAATAAACAAAACAGCACATAGCACACATTTTGACCCAGAGCAGGTTCGTAGCATTGCTTTACGAAAAAAAGAAAACTGATGCCTTGGCAAGGCTCATAAATGTATTACTGGGCTTGATGATGGCGTTTTTTGGTAAAGTATCTCCGGGTTGGCGCTCGGCAGCAAATTTAACTCCAAGCTGCGGCTCTTCAGAATTGGACCGACTTCACCTCAAGACACTTGGCAAAGACAGATATTCCTGAAAGTAGTTATTTTTGTAAGATAACAATGATTTCTGTCACTATGGACAGTGCAATTTTGGTGTCATGATCATCACATCACCGGTCACAAGACCGGTTACAAGACCAGTCACAAGGATCATGGTGAATAATGACGAAAGAATACATTTGCTTCAGGTCGTTCAAATAGCCTGTAACTTGCATTCAGACTGGTGGTCTTGTGTTGGGGTCCAGTGGTGGTCTTATTCAATTAGTTTTGCCTACAGCACTGACTGTATGCATATAATTATACCAAAGACAAATCCAGGCTGATGATTGCTATACACTTACGAAGCTCCAGTTGTAATTAACATTTGCTGTTCAGACAAAAAAATCAAAGGCCAGTTTTACACAATTAACTGACACAATGATTCTGCAATTACTGGAAACTTCCGAGGCGTAAAATGAAAACAAGCTTAGATTCCATGTTTATAACTCACAACAATATGCAATGCCCCCTTACTTAAATTAATTATCAACCTGAATTTTTTCTTTAAAAAGATGGAAGTCAAGCATGAAAGAAGTTTAAGGATTCTTAAAAGCAGAAAAAACAAGTACCACTTGAAATTACAAAAGGCATAGGAAACCATGATTGGTGCAAGAAAACTGTTTATGCCAGGAATGTTGCATGAGCCATGTGCTTCATGTATCTTGCTTTAAACAGTCCAATGGTTTCAATAGTCTGATGGTTTCACGTCTGAAGATTTGCTGGCCCAAATATTCAATAATCTGAAATATGTTACTCTGAGGGCCTGTTTGTTTCACTCTGATCCCGATCTCAATCAGTGGTCCCAATGCTGCCTGGTTCGTTGCATCCATTAGGAGAGTTCAGGTGTCAGTGAACCAACGTCAGATCACTGGTCGCGATTTGGATCCACATGAAACAAACAGGCCCTGAAGGTTCAACAGCGGAAAGGTTCCTTGGTCCCAAATTATAAACAGATCAAGAGTATAATGATCCCAATCGACACAACGGCTCATAAAGCACTATCAAATTAAATTGTCTAAAATGATCTAAGATCTAAGGGAAGTAAAAGTTTGGATTGTCAGACCTTGGGTGCTTTTTTTGATTAGTGAACCTGCCTACTACCAAAACCTTGAGTTCATTTTAGACTTGAATCTATTAGACTAAGAACTAGTGAAGATACGGACTATCAAATTGATTCAGATGTATCTATTCACATGCAGCTAGATTATCACTCACTTCATTCAAGAAACCCTGCCAAATCCACTAGCATCCAATGATAACCAACAGTGAAGGGGCAGGTTCTGTCTGTACATCTCAAGGTTTCACTTTCACGTTGTTGAATTCAGCAGGGTGCCTGCAAAAATGTTTCCAGATCCACTTTGACAGTGGTTCCTCATCTGAATATAATACTTTTTTTTATCAGTTAAAGCAGTGCCATTAAAACTGGGCCCTGTCAAGTTTTATGGGGCCGTGGAAGCAATGTTGCATGTACATGTACCGTGTTAAACTGCCAGTCTCAACTTGTCCAGTCCACTGGCAAAGGAAAGCTGGCAGCTTAAACTGTCCATGACGGTTGATGAGGAAACTGAACAGCATTCTGCGACTTCCAGTGAGTTTACTGTCTTCACAGGAAAAACAAAATCTGCGCCTCACCAGAACATGCATTACCCATGCAGCTTTTGTGGTGGGTGAGGATTCATCCCAGCAGTGTTTGGAGAAGGGTTGCAATCCAGTGCTCCTCAAGGTTAAATGGCTCCTTTGACAGACTTTTTCCGCTTCATGCATCTCTATCCAAGTTTCTTTTCTTCTTCGTTTATGTCTCCATTGGTCAGGTTGGTCTTCTCTTCATTGGTCACCAGGAACAACTTCTGACACCAGTGAGTGATGGCGACTACAGAGAGACAAACAACAATGAAATTCTTGGTTGTTTGTGTATTCCATTTTCAGCAACACTGAATACCAACAGTTTTCCACTTGGCAACCGAAATGAAAAAAAAAAGCTGGAAAGCATTTGGGAACACGCAATTTCGGGTATACGCGTGCAGAAACTGAGAAAAATCAAGGAATGTTTCAACAAGAATGTTCACACTCAGACATGAATACAATGACTCTATGACCGAGTACCTGGATTTCACTAAAGTTGGAAGACTTGATAAAAGTTTTGGACCAACTATGGATCAGAAGGGCCCATCAATAAATGCAATGTCCATCACTAAATGTATATTTTTTCTTTTAATGTGGCTCAGGCTTAAAAAAATTAGATTTAATTTATCACAAAGTTTAAATTATTTTTAAGGAAAATTGACAATAATTTGTTACAGACTTTTATTCATTTCTGATATTTTCACTCTCAAGTTTCCAAAATGAAAGTTAACCTCACTTTCAATTTAAGATGGCCAACACAAGAATAGGGTTTGATGGAAGTCTGTGAAGAACCAGAGATTCTTTCTTGTGGTTTTATCACAAAGAGTACCATGCATTATTGAGCACCACTCCAAGGTAATTCAGTTCTATTCACCAACGCATGCGGCAGTGATTACCCTGACACAGCTCCCGACCTCGGAGATGGGAAACCCAACCACACATTGACCATGAATGTGAAGGCAGCCACCAGCTTCACAAAATATGAAACTAAGAATGGTATTTACACTAACTGAACAGAGCAAAACAACCAAAGGACAATGTTAGCTGGCCACTCTCAGACTTTGCGTCTGAGTGAGAGACAAGGAGGGCATGTTCGGTCCATCCACCTACCGTCTAGTTTGTGGAGGACAGCCATTTTCTTGGCCGGTCGGACAAAGATGAAGTAGAACGGTATGCCGGTGAGTGTGATAGCCACACCAATCAGAGTGTCCATGGGGGCCGAGATGGTGCCCAGGACCACCAGAGCGATGGAAGCAAAGGTGAAGAAGATGGGCAGAATAATGTTCACCTGTTGACAAGAATGATGTGAATTTGAAAAAATTGTTTAAGTGATGATATATGGAAATATACGGAGACTCCAAGGAGCAGTTTGGTTAAGTGATCCAACTTAAACGTTCTTTATAAACAGAAAAAATCAAGATTAGAAAAACTGTAGGGCACAGGGTAGTTTGTAGGGCACAGGGCAGTCTGTAGGGCACAACTAGGGTGGTCTGTAGGGTAGTCAGTAGGGCA